TGATAACAGCTGATAAATGCTTTGTTATCAAGGAGGAAGGGAGCCCCTCCCTAATCCTGCTGGGGCCTGGCCACCCACCCCCACCCCTGAGCTCAGCCCTGTGGAAGGGGAAGGGAAGGCTGCCCTAGCACCCCCCAGCTTCTAGCCTAAACCACTGCAGGCATGTGCCTGCATATCTGGGATGTCTGTACGGTTACAAACTGATTTAGACTAGCCAGGTTAGACTAACCTGCAAAGACTGAATCAATTCAGGCTCAGGCTTTTTGAATGTCTGTCCCTAGTCTAAATGTACAGAAAAACATTTCTTACCAGATGTATTTATTTGAGGATAGAGTTGCTAACCCTGGTTTTGCAAGTTTTATCCAGTCTGGAAGGGTATAATTCCTCAATTTTGCAACTAATCCTGATGCTAGAGACAACGGAATAGTGGGGCAATTTAGCTTGTCAGAGAATACCATCTCTCTCATTCTTACTATAAAAAAGCAGGGCCAAATTTACTGTAGTTTCATTTTAAAAGATTACTCCTGAAAGCCATATCCAACTACGGTTTAGGTCTAAAGCCTAGTAAATGAATATACAGTATATCTTAAGTATATTAAAAATGTCCTTGACTGGCAAATGTATCTGAAATTCCCCAGTGGGGATGAAAAGCTTATAGTGAATTTATGATATATTAAGTCCCATGAATTTATGCTATGTTAAATTGAGAATAGCAACATAACTCCTTTTAAAATGGTTAAACATTGTACGATCGGGTTAAAACACACCAGGCCCCTCTCCCAATTAATGTTTTTGTTTGAAGACTATAACTATTTAATTTGAAATTTCCTCTTGCTGTGCCAATTACATTTTAAACTTCTTCCTGTGAAGTTTTAAAGTGCACTGTCTTATTTGACACGCAATGTACTATTAAAACAGCCCAGAGTAGGATAAAAAATGTTTTTCTACAGTATCAAGCACCTGGCAAGTAAATGGAACATTCCTGCAAAGCCTTAAAGTCATTCCTCTTTTTCCCTGAGGATTCCAAACCCACTTATTTTTATTTCCCTTTTAAACCTATGAAATTACATCACTTTTTCTTTGATTTACATTTTACAATATTTTTCCACATTGTTCCTTAGTTTCTTTAACCAGCTAATTAAAACGGCAGTTCTGTTTGACCATCAGAGATAGGGGAGAAGAGATGACTAATATTAAATTAATCTTGGCAACGGGGAAGAGTGCTGATTATCTACAGTAAGTCACATGACTTGAGTAGTTTAAATTAAGGCTCTGCAAATGTAGATTGCTTAGGCTGTAGGGGCCTTTGATCTATCTCTACCAAGCTTGAGGGGGTGGGGGGAGATAAGGCAATTTAGGCTGGATTGGTGGTTTAAAGGGTCCATGTGCTCAAAATATTGAGACAAGCGTATGGAACTAACAACACGGAAGTTGTTTACACAGGAAATTACTGAGTAGTAAACTCGGGTGTGAATTTACAGCACACTCATTACTCCTCATGTGGACATTATTACAGCATGTCTACAATGATCAAAGGCTCATACTAGTGAGCAGTACAGCCTCATCTACACTCATCTGTCTCTGCTAGCAGGAGGTCTGGCAGCAACAGTCCACTCATCTGAGAACACACCCATCCATGCATTTCTGTAGGCTGTGCAAAGCTCCCCTGCAGCAGCTGTGCTGCCAGAGATTGAAGCGCACCCATAAAAGGCACCAGTTACTGAAGGAACTGCTACAGCCAGCCAGCTGAAGGCTGCATACACACATCAGACTGTCAGCGGGAAGGAGACTTCTGCCATCACAGAGGAGCTTCAGATGTAGACGCACACAAAAGTTTTAATAGTTGAACTTTATGAGGTAGTCTAGACTTCAGTGTAATGATGTATGTAGTTGTTATATGCATCAGTGCAGCACTGGACACTTGCCAATATACCCTCCTGAGAGAGTAAGCTTATTGATGTATTAAGAGCATCCACACTGAGAGTTAGTGCAAAGAAACTAGTGAGTTGTAAATTCATATTCAAATTTATTGTACAGGAACTTCTGCATGCAGATGAGCCTTCTAATGAGACGAATTTTGATGTGGAGTCTCATGAATGGGTTAACTGTTATCACCCACACACTTTATTCCTCTTACTCTGAAATTTTTATGGGGAATAACATATACCAAAGTGTATGGGCTACAAATACCCAGCAGACGCACAACACCTTGGGTCAAAATATCCCTTGTGCAATGGCTTCATGAAGAATTCAGCTGATTATGTTTAGGAGGCAGGGTCACAGCATTCAAGCAGGTTTCCTATTGTGTTGCAAAACAGTTACAAAAAAAGAAAAAAAAGAGGAAACCCCACTTCCCCACATCCCACAGCATGTTTAATATTAATAACAACAAAAAGGCAATGTGATGCGGGAGAGGTAGATGCAGACTGAAACCTTTTCTATTCAAGAACCATTTGGAACAGTGCTTGGAAGCAGCACAAATAGAACAGTCTGGTTGGAAAACTGAGAAAGGTCTATTGTTTGCAATCTTATGAATAGCTGCACTTGGAACAAGAGATGAATCACAGAACTCACAAATGGGAAAACCTGCAGGTGCACCTCCTCTTCCAATGCAGGACTGTAGCCGTCTTTGCCATCTACTATTTTTATAAGAGTAAACACCTACTAAAAGATAAAATTCAGCAAGAATACATTAGTCCAAGGTCTATGTGCATTTATTTATCTGATTAAATAAATATCACTTCTGGAGTCCAAATAAAACTTCCTCTGCACCCACAAAATGTGGCAATACCTTTTGGGCCCACAGCTTCCTCCTCACAGGCCAAATATGACTAATAAAAATTAAAATAAAAAATATACATGCTTGTCCTTGAGGGTACAAACCTTTTTCAAAGTCTAAAAAGTGATGCAGCCTTTCTGTCATAGAATACAAGGTTGACTAGTCTTTGTATTTCACTTGCTTGGGGCTCGTATTTTGTCCCTTCAGGAGCAGTCATGACATGGGACAATATCTGTGTAAACCTAGATCCAAACAACAGGTCAAATTCTTCTGTGACGTAGTGAAATAAGCAGTGGGGTAAGCTAAACACCTGCTGTGAACTGGCAGTGAAACAGCGTAAGTGGTAAAATTTCCACTGGTTATGCCAAGTGAGAATATCTGACTACCTGATGTTTAACTAAAATGACCATTAATCTCCACACAAAATTTATCTAAGGAACCTCCACAGAGCTGCAGTATATCAAAATTTGTTCTTTGTGTACTAGAAGATACCAAAATGTATTACTTTTCTCTTTTGAAAGACTACAACTGAGAGGGCTGTTATAGTGGCTGGAAGCTGCAACATTAATCAACTTCCATGGAGTTAATTTGAGCCATTTGAGAAAGTAGACGATTTCTCTGCCAGTGACCTGGTTCTCTACATAGCTGCTTTTATGTTAGTCTGTGCACCAAAGGATCTTCAAGTTCCCTGTGTGAGAAGGCAAAGGAATGGTTTAAAGAACAGACTCCTGATTATATATTCCTGAAAGTAAGTGAATGTATGTACACACACACACACCACACAGAGCAGCAAGCTCTTTATGAAGCTCAAAATATATACATGTGTACATATACACACACATACATACATATATACACATATATGTGCACGCGCACACACACACACACACACACACACACACACACAGCTTCATAAAGAGCTTGCTGCTTCACTGAAACAAAGGCCTACTTAGGAAACATTATAATCTATATTTATAAATGCAAAATACTGTACTGTAATTATTATATTATGAAGAGCAACTAATAAATTACAGACTGTACAATGACAATTACAACCAGCAACATCCACAAATATGAATCTCAAAATGAGATCACAAGCATATGAAGAAGTAAGGAGCAGTCATCTTACTGACATATTTCTGAAAAAGTACAGTCAGGACTAAATTTCAAAGCCTCTCCTACATACACATTATCACACTGAAGTTTTCCTCCTTACATCAATGATAAGGCTGGGACAAAATAGAAAGAGAAACCTTAAAAAAAATTTAAAAAAATGCACTGTCAGTTATATAAATATATAGTCAGTATAATTCTTAAGTGGCAAACAGGATGTGGCATTCAAGGGCACTTGAAAGATGAAACTCCTCTCTGATTTTTAGAAAGAATATCAAATGAATACAGAAAGGGGGGGGGATTTCTCTGTGGCTCCTTTTTCCCCATCTATACAAACAGCAAAAATATTTTGCTCATCACACCCAGGTTATTTTGGGGATTAGTTAACTAGTATTTATCTTTGTGTGTTCTTCGTAGGTGAAGACGACTGCATCCAGCAGCAGGAGGATGGGGTGGACGGGAGGGGGAGAAGGGAGAAAAGAAGCGGGAAAGAAAGAAACGGGGGAAGAAAAGAGAAAAGGAGAAAAAAGGAAGGAGGAGAAAAGAGAAAGAGGAAGGAAAGAGGAGGAGGGTGGAGACTAGGTCACATGGGTATGTAGGTGATTTATAAGCTCAATCTTTGTCTTGAACAATCTACTGCAGCAGGGGCAGAAGAGTGATGAGTACTGGGTACGAGAAGCCTTCATTTTCCTAGCCACACGTTTCTTCATTGCTTCTGTCACTGTGTTGCTGTTCGAAGGCCAGTGCTCCATTCTGGACTGATGACCTCTAGGATGGACGGTTGCGAACAAACTGCTCCCACAACTCCAGGTCAATGCTGAAACTCTTTAGAGACACCTTTAGGGTGTCCTCGTACCGCTACCTTGGTGCACTGCAAGAGCATACTCCATTTGACAGTTTACTGTAGAAGATTTTCTTCAGCAGGCAAGCACTGGGCATTCTTGAAAGGTGGCCAGCCCATCTCAGCTGCCCCAGTTTCAGTAGAGTGTGAATGCTGGGGAGAACTGATCTTCTGAGCACCATGGTGTCTGGAATCTTGTCCTGCCACTTGAGCTTTAGTATCTTTTGCAGGCAACACAGGTGGAAGTGGTTTATTTTCTTTACAGAATGCTGGTAGATGGTCCATGTTTCACAGGTTTTTGTAAAGGAGGGTTGGGAGAATGATGGCTTTGTAGACCTTCACTTTTGTCAATATTCTGCTGCCTCTGTGGTCCCAGACTGACTTACGGAGTCTGCCAAAGGCCATGCTAACTTTCTAGTATTTTCCACACTAGTATTTATAGATGCTTTGAATACAGCGGTACATAAATTAAACAGCCTTGCTATTATTGTTTCATGAGTTGAGGTGCAGTCACCCTACCCTTGAAATTAAAATATTACTACTACAAAGCATGAATTGAAGTACAATGTAGTAACCTTCAAAAACAATAAGGAGGATGACTGGGTTGATTATTGAAGTCTCCAGATTTCCTTTATTCTTAAAAAAAAAAAAAAAAAAGACTAAGGAATCTAGCCTAATAAAATATTCATGTCACTAACATTTTCAATTTCACCAAACTTAAAATCAGCAGTGTAACAACAGTGAAAAGAATGCTGTGAAAATTAAAAACCAGG